ACAAACCTATCTAGCCAATAACTTCTACATACACATAGTCATAGTGTCAAACATAACTTATGCAGTTACTGTAGACTATATATGTTTGTGCCTTAGTGGGTACAACTCTCTAGACTATATTGCCTTGTATCTCCCCACTCTAGTCATTATTCTTTCTGATATGGTATCATAGTAGGTTAGGTTCCCCCCTAGCCCGCCCACGCTTCCGCCCCCTAGGCCCTAGCCACCGTCGTGCCCCGCTCCTAGCTGGCCCCCCCTGGCCGTCGCGCCCGTCCCTAGCCGGCCCCCTGGCGGTCGCGCCGTCCCTAACCGGCCCCCTGGCCGTCGCGTCCGCCCCTAGCCGGCCCCTTGGCCGTCGCGTCCGCCTCTAGCCGCCCCCCCTGGCCGTCGCGCCCGTCCCTAGCCGGCCCCCTGGCCGTCGCGCTCGTCCCTTGCCGGCCCCCTGGCCGTCGCGCTCGTCCCTAGCCGGCCCCCCTGGCCGTCGTGTCCGCCCCTAGCCGGCCCCCCTGGCCGTCACGTCCGCCTCTAGCCGGCCCCCTGGCCGTCGCGTCCGCCCCTAGCCGACCCCTTGGCCGTCTCGTCCGCCTCTAGCCGGCCCCCCTGGCCGTCGCGCCCGTCCCTAGCCGGCCCTCTGGCCGTCGCGTCCGTCCCTAGTCGGCCCCCTGGCCGTCGCGTCCACCCCTAGCCAGCCCCCTGGCCGTCGCGTGAACCCCTAGCCGGCCCCCTGGCCGTCGCGTGTGCCCCTAGCCGCCCTCCTGGCCGTCGCGCCCGTCCCTAGCCGGCCCCCTGGCCGTCGCGTCCGCCCCTAGCCGGCCCCTTGGCCGTCGCGCCCGTCCCTAGCCGGCCCCCTGGCCGTCGCGCTCGTCCCTAGCCACCCCCCCCCCCTGGCCGTCGCGCCCGTTTCCTGCCGTCCCACGGCCGCCCCTAGCCGTCTCACGGCCGCCCCCTCGCCGTCACGGCCGCCTCTAGCCGCTGTCGCTGCCGTCTCCAGCCGCCTCACGGTCACTCCTGCCGTCGCGGCCGCCCCTAGCCGCCGTCGCGGCTGTCCGTGGCCGCCGTCGCGGCCGTGTCTCCTCGCCGTCGTGGCCGGCCCTACTCGCCGTCACGCCAGCTCCTCGCCGGCCCCCGTTGCCGCCGTTTGCTGGCCCCTCGCGTCTGCCGTCCGCCGGCCAGCTCCTGCATTCGCGTCGTTGCCAGCCCGCCACCGCCTCGGGTTCGGCCCGTTCTTCCTGATCAGCACCGCCCTGCGAACCCCCGCCCCCCCCCCCCGGTACCGTACTCAACCGCACTGCACTGCACTATACCGCACTGTACCGCACTGCACCGTCCTGCACCGCACTGCACTACCCATGCCATACTGCACCGCACCGTACTGCCCTCTCTTGTCACTGATGGCGGAGGTGCTTCGCTTTGACGCTGAGGGCCAGCCGATTGAGTTCGATGCGTGGCTTGTTGACCTCCGTCGCCACCTCACTGGTCAGCAGCAGGATGGCCACTCTCTGTCTGTCCATCTTGACAGTACCCTTCCCTGACCTGACCCCCCCGCTGCACTGTCTCCTGACCCCTCGTCCGTCGAGCGTGAGTCCGCTGCGGCCGCTGCCCTTGCTCGCTCTGTCTGGCTGTCCCGTGACGATGTCGCACAGTAATGCCCTCCCCCTGTCCGAGCGACCTCGCTTCAGGTCCATCACCACTGCCACGCTTTCCTAGATGCTGTTGTCCAGCCCTATTCCACCCCGCCTGCTGCCTCGGTAGGTCGCCTGATCCTCCCCATGCTCTTCCCTGACCTTGCGTCGCTCCCCACTGTCGCTGACCTGGCCGCCCGCCAGCGCACTACAGACGAGACCTGACGCGCTGCCTGCACTGACACACAGCTTCGCGCTCACCAGCCGCCCCTCTGCTCAGAGGTCTGCTGAGACGGCTGCTCGGCTGCACCTGTCAGGGTCCCCTCGTCCACACCACCACCAGGGGACCCAGCTCCCGCACCACCTATACCTGCACCCCCACCCCCCCCGCCACGGTCTGCTGAGACGGCTGCTCCCTATACCTCCCCTACCTGCTGGTCACCCGCCTCCCTAACCGCCTTGCCACTGCCCGAGACCTCACCCTCACTGACTTTGTTGACACCCTGTTCGTTATAGAGGCCCGCCACCGCTCTATCGCCCTGACCAGCGGCACTGTGCCGGTCCCTATCTTTCAGGGTTGCGCCCCCGCTAAGTGCACCTTCTCCGACGGCTCTGCTGCTGTGGCTGAGACTGCTGCTGCAGCACAGGTCCGTCCGGGGAAGGGTCGCCGCCCCAAGGCGGGGCGTGGCGGGGGGGGTGGGGGTGCAGGTATAGGTGGTGCGGGAGCTGGGTCCCCTGGTGGTGGTGTGGACGAGGGGACCCTGACAGGTGCAGCCGAGCAGCCGTCTCAGCAGACGCCGGTGTTGTCGCCGGACCCGCGTCAGCCGCAGCAGTCGCAGCAGCAGCCGAGATGGGCGAGTGGTCTCCCGTCCGGGTGGCCTGGCGCTGGTGGTAGCGTTGGACGTGGTGGTGGTGCGCGTGGTGGGCTGCCGGGTGGTGGTTCGGGTCCCGAGCGCTGTCAGTACCTGCTCCAGACCGGTCCTCGCCGTGGCTTCGTTTCCGGTAAGATCGGCCACACCTCCGACCGCTGTTTCCGTCGCCTGGACGACCTGTTTCGTCAGCGCTTCGGCCCGTCGCCCAAGCTCCCAGACTGGCACAGCTTGCTTCGTCGTAGGGTTCAGATTTTTGATATGGATATAGATGACATTATTACTGCTCTGTAAGTGATGTATGCTAATGACTCTAGTGTGCTTCCGTCCTATTACCCCTTGTTGCCTAGTGTAGGCATGCCTTGCTTAGACTCCCCTGCTGCGTCAGGCGTAGGATCCCCTGCTTTGTTTAGCCTTGGTGCTTACGTCGCTGCTTCGCCTCCGGCCGCCACTGCCGTGCTCTCCTTTACCCTCGACTCTGGCGCATCCCGGTGCTTCTTCCGCGACTCTACCACGTTGACACCGCTCCATGTCCCTGCCGCAGTCTCTCTTGCTGACCCCTCCTCCGGCCCTGTAGTTGCCCGCAAATCCACCACCCTCCCTTGCCCGGCGGTTCCTTCAGGCTTGCTCACAGGACTGCACATCCCCTCGTTCTCCAGGAACCTAGTTGGTGTCGGCTGCCTTCAGGACCTTGGCGTCACCACTACGTTCCCTGGACACGAGCGGTACGCTATCTGTACCGAGGCCGCCACTAGTGCCCCCCTCTCCACGTTCCCACGGGACTCGGTGTCCGGTCTTTTCACACTGGACACGGTGACCCCCCTGGCTAGGACCCCCCCTCAGGTGGCTGCGTCTCCTCAGGTTGCTGCTGCCTACTCCTGTCGGTCTCTCACCACCGCCTAGGTCACCCTGCGCTCCCGCGTCTGCGTCATATGTCACAGCGCGGTCTCGTCCTAGGCCTCCCCGGGTCGTTCCCTGAGTTTCCCTCCTCCCCAGCCCCACCTTGCACGCCCTGCGTCGAGGGCCGGCTCCGCCGTGCCCCTCACTCCTCCTCGTTTCCCCCTACCACAGCACCGCTACATACTCTGCACATGGACGTCTGGGGCCCCGCCCCCGTCCATGGGCCGCGTCGAGAGCGCTACTTCCTAGTGCTTGTCGACGACTACACACGCTACACCACTGTATTCCCCCTGGAACGGAAGGCCGACGTGCCTGCCGTTCTTATCTCGTGGCTTGTCGCTGCGCATGTCCAACACGGTCTCCTTGTCTTGCGCCTCCACTCTGACCGTGGTGGGGAGTTTGCCTCTAGTGTCCTTGGTCGTTTCTGTCGTGCGGAGGGCATCACCCAGACGTTCACCTTGCCGGACTCCCCGCAGCAGAACGGGGTCACTGAGCGACGCATCGGCTTGGTTATGGAGGCGGCTCGCACCTCCATGATCCATGCCGGTGCACCCCATTTTCTGTGGCCGTTCGCCGTTCGCTACGCCGCTCACCAGCTTAACCTGTGGCGGCACCCCCAGCAGCCTAAGGTTTCGCCGACCCTTCTTTGGTCTGGGTCACCTGGTGACGTGTCTGCGTTCCACGTCTGGGGCTGCCTTGCTCACGTTCGTGCCTCTGGCACGGACAAGCTCACTGCACGCACCCTTCCCTGTGCCTTCCTCGGCTTCCCCCTTGACGCGTCTGACTGGCACTTCTACCACCCGCAGTCTCACCGGTTCTTTCACTCCCGCGACGTCACCTTTGACGAGTCCGTCTCCTTCTTCCGTCGCTTCCCCCACCGCGGTCCCCCGGTTACCCCCCCCCTATTCCTGGTCCCCCCTTCCCCGGTCGTCGCCGCCCCTCCTCCTCCCCCTCCCCATCTTGCCCCCTCTGGTTTGTCCCACATCACCCCACTTACGTCGGTTGTCCCGGTTGAGGAGTCTGCTGACTCTGGTGGTCCTGCGGCGCAGTCCTCACCGCCTGCCCCTTCTCCGGTGTCTCCTCCTCTGCCACCTCTGCAGCCGCTGTCGCCCCCGCTGTCGCAGCCGCCGTCATTGCAGCCGCCGCCGCCGCAGCCGTCGCCGCATCCGTTCGTTGCCTCTGGGGGTGCTGGAGTTGGGGTGGGTACTAGTCCTGGGACTCCTGTCGTGGCTTGTCCCGGCGGGCTTGGGGGTGGTACCGGTGCTCGAGGGGTTCTGAGCTCTGGGGGTGTTCCTTCTGGGGGTGCTGGCGTGGAGTGTTTTGGAGGTAGCCGCCAGGCCGCTAACAGTTCCGGTGTCGGTATCACACCGCCGCTGCAGCAGTCCCCGCCGGTGTCCGCTCTTCATCTGCTCGGCCTTCCTTCCCCTGACCCCATGCCCGTGCCTCCTCCTCCTCCTGTCTACGGCCCTGTGTTCCCTCCTCTGGACTCGTCTCCAGCCCGTTTCCCCTCTCGTTCCCCTCCTGTGTCCCCTCCTCTTTCTCCTGACCCGACTCCTCCGTTTCATGTCTGGTCTCGGCGCCCCTCCCGTGCTCGACCTGCACTGCTGCAGCTGAGATACACTGCTGCCCGCTGCTGCCATCCTTGCATAGGTGTCCTTGATCTTGTCAAGGACCGGCTTCACATCGTCCCCTGGTCGCATGGAGATGGCAGCAAGTTCCTTCTCGAGCACGATCACCATCGGGAGAGTGTTGGGCTGAATCACATCGCGTAGTAGTTTCCACGCCCTTGGACCCGAATCATCCGCTTCCACAAGATCCTTGATGTGCTCGAACATCTCCTTGTTGACCGATTGAAGGATGAGGTCGAAAAGCACCGCGCTTTTCTCAATCCACCGTTCACGTGCTTCGCCTTCTTCCGGCATCTTCTCTTCCCCAACAGCAATCTTCAGTAGCTTGTAGCGTTTGAAGGCACTCCTCATCCGTCCGCTCCATTCCTCATAGTTGGAGCCATCCAAAGCTTCAACTTTTGATGGCGGCGGCTCACTTGCCTTCTCAGCTACAGCTCCTCTTCCATTAGCATCTCCTCCTCTTTCATTCATCTTCTCCTTGAGAAATGACGAATTTCAGCTCCCCTTTGCTGTCCACACTCAGCTCCCTCGATATTTTCACAAGTATCGGCGTCCACGAAATTTCGGCAGAGTTTCCCCTTAGCAGAAGACACATCCAACATTTAGAACACCACTTAGGCACACCCACAGGCCATGGTGGGTCTAGAAGGGTCTTCACACTTCTGTAGACTCCTCTCAATGTCCTTAATATCGCTCTGATACCACTTGTTAGAATTAAGGACGGAGTCTAGGTGAACTTAGGAACTAGAATTACTCAAAATATAAATCCGAAATTCTGGACAGAAAAGTCGTCTTCACAAGAAACAACGTCGACAAAAAACTAGCCGTTGGAATGTCGCGAAACTTGGATATGTTGTAGCTATTAATCTCAGCTACCGTTTCCAATTTGAATCACGTTGATTGATGAAGTATTCGCGACGCTATGACTTTCGACGCATTAGGGGGTAAGCTGTAGGAGGAGAACTTAACTCAATCTCAAAGGTTCAATCAAAGTTCAAGAATCTCACAAGGAATTAGAGGAGCAAGAGAAATGTTGGGATAGAAGAGAGGGATGAGAGGGAAGGTCCCAAGAGAGTCCTCAACCAAGGAAACCCCATAAGCACAAAGATTCCCTCCCTATAGGAACCCCAACTTTGACATTTGTCCCTTCCCAACCAATCCATCCAAGTTGGCCACCCTTGCCAACCTAGCTTGGTTGTTCCCAACCAATTTGCAGCTGTTACAGTGAGTGACAAATTTCCCCAACCCCCAAAGGTCCCAACTCCATATAGAGTCACCCCACAACTTCACTTTGTAACCGCCGCAATTGTAACGCAAGCTCATGAACTTTGAATCTTCATAGCTTTCGCGTTCTTGCTCCGATTGAAGGGATTCTCGTTGCGTCGGAAAGATCTTCTCAAGATCTATCATCACAAAAAACCTGCTCAAACAAAATAACACAAAACACATTCCCAAACTCCAGAACACATCACACACAAATTCTTGCACACGTTCAAACCACACATGCAAGTTGAAAAAAATATGGGATGGGAGGCAGACAGAATGTGATAGCATATGATGACATCACACAACAATCTCCCCCTCTGGCTGCCAACCATCATCCACCATACCAACATCTCAAGCATGCATACTCAATGCACACTCATCCCAGCAAGCTTCATGCCCTTCCAATGATCCGCCTCCGCCAGACGCTTGGTGAAAATATCTGCTGCCTGCTGATGGGTCTTCACTATCTCCAGCCGCACCTCCTTATCAAGGAGTCTCCTCACCCAGTGCCACTTAGGCCTTATGTGTTTTGTCAGCCCATGCAGACAAGCATTCTTGGCGAGCTTCACAGCAGACTCATTGTCACAGAACACAACTGTCGGCTCCTCCTGACCAACTCCCAACTCCTCTAACAAGCGCATCAGCCACACCACTTCCTTGGCCCCATGGTGTAAGGCCATGTACTCAGTCTCACATGAGGACAATCCCACCTCATTCTGCTTCTTGCTGCGCCAGCTCACAGCACCACCTCCTAGCAAGCACACATAACCCCCAATGCAAGTGCCATCCGCTTTCACTGAGTTGAAGCTAGCGCCAGTATAGCAACTCAAGAGCATCTCTCCACTCTTCACATCTGCAGCACCTCTCTGCAACCGCTGCCTCACTCCACTGTACTCCAATCCCACTGATGCCGTAGCGCTCACATAGCGGACCAACCTCTTGGCCGCTTCCAGCTGCTCATGACTAGGGCGTGAGACCACACTAGCCAATCGTGATGTAGCAAATGCAATGTCAGGCCGTGTATGATTTGCAGCAATATTCAGCGACCCAACCATCGAATGAAACAGCTTCCTGTCACTATCACCCACTACCTCCTCATCAGCACATGGCTCCACAGTGAACCCCGAAGGTAGTGGTGTTGCTGGCTTTCCCCCATCTTGCAGCCCATACTTCTCAGCCAGCCCCTCACAGTACTTCCTCTGGTGCAACCTCAGCACACCCTTCTCCACATCTCTCTCCACAGGCATCCCCAAGTAGTACTTCACCTCACCCATCTTGGAACACTTGAACTGCATCTCCAGCATCTGCTCTGCACTGTCCAGCAAAGCAGTTGATGCAGAAAAGAGAAGGATATCATCCACGTACACCAAGAGCATGAGGATTTCATCCTTCTCCTGCAGCAGGAACAGGCTGGGGTCACACTCACTCTTCTTGAAACCCCCAGCCAACAGCGCCTCCTCCAACTTGTGATACCATGCACGAGGCGCCTGCTTAAGGCCATAGATGGCCTTCTTCAGCCTGCAGACCCTGCCGCTCCCATCATCCAGCCCCTCTGGCTGCTTCATGTACACCTCCTCCAGAATGATCCCATTCAGAAAGGCAGTCACAATGTCCATCTGCCGTATCTTCCATCCCAGGAGTGCAGCTATCGCCAACAGCACCCTCAGTGTTGTTCCTTTCCCCACAGGAGCAAACACCTCATCATAGTCCTTCCCCTTTGTCTGCTGAAACCCCCGTGCCACAAGCCTAGACTTGTAGCGGGTCAGCTCCCCTTCAGGTCCATACTTGTGCCTGTAGATCATCTTGGAAGTGATTGCCTTCTTCCCAGGAGGCAAGTCACACAGGTCCCATGTCTCGTTTTCAATCAGGGACCCGAACTCCTCATCCTCACTCGCCTTCCACTTCTCCCCATTTGGTCCATTCAAGGCCTCCTCTCGAGTCTTGGGCTCAGGGATTGGTGCCCAGTAGCAGTGAGCGATCTCATCTTCCTCAATCTGCTCAACCACACTCCCAGCCTGCACCACATTTGGCTTGCCTCTTCCCCCATAGGTCAGCCTCACAGTAGGGCGCACATCCCTCCTAGGTCGCTCAGGCGGCTGTGGAACTCGAGGTGGAGACTCATGTTGCTGTTGCTGCTCCACTTCAGCTGCTCCCCCTTCTTCAGTCACCCCAGATATCTCCTCCTCAGACACTGCAACCTCCACCTGCCTTGAAGGCTGCTGCAACTCATCTGCCTCCACAATGAGTGGTGTAGATGGAAGCTTCTGTTGCTGCTGCTTCCATTCCTTATAGTACAGGGACTCAAGAAACTTCACATCCCTTGACACTGTCAGCTTCTGGATGGTCAAGTCCCATAGCAGCCATCCCTTGTGATCCTTTGCAATCCCCAAGTGCACACCCCATCTTCCAGAAGCCTCCAACTTCCCTCTTTCCTCCTTAGGCACATGAAACACTACCATGCACCCAAATGCCCTCAGCATATTCACAGCTGGAGCACTCCCATACCACTTGGTATATGGGATCCACTCCTTATCCCCAACTGTAGCCAGCACCCTATTCTTCACAAGGGCGACCTGCCTCAGTGCAGACACCCAAAACGGATCAGGTAGCCCTGCACGCCCAAGGAGAGTGCGTGCCCCCTCCTGCAGGGTCCTGTTGAACCTCTCAGCCACGCCATTCTGCTGCGGATTGTAGGGCACTGTCCGTTGATGCTGGATCCCCTTCCTCTTCAACTCCCCCTCAAAATCAGCTCCAATGAACTCCCCACCATTGTCACTGCGGATCACCTTCACCTTGTGTCCGCATTCCCTCTGAGCTCTAGGCATCCACTCCTTAAGGACAGCCGCTGCCACCTCCCCGTTGCTGTTCAAAGCGTAAACCCACACTGCCCGAGTGTGGTCATCCACAATTGTCAAGAAATAGCGGCTGCCTGAGAGGGAAGGGGCTCTTGTGGGCCCCACCACATCCATGTGCACAAGTGCAAGTGGGGTCTTGGCTGGTCCTGTTGCACTGTTGAAGGGGAACTTGGAGAACTTGGTCTCCAAGCATGTAGGGCAGCTCCCAATCTCCTTCACTTCCCCTTTCACCTCCAAGCCCTTCAGGCTCCCATTCTTCACCAACTTCTGCAGCATAGGGAAGTTCACATGACACAACCTCTCATGCCATGTCTCCCAATCGGCCTCTCCACTCCTTGATGAAGCCTTAGCCCATGCCGCACTCGCATCCACACCAGCAAGCACCTCACCATGTGTCTGCTGCTTCTGCACTTTCTTGACTGCTTCCAGGACCCCATCAGTTGGTGCAGTTGCATCTCCTCCTGCTGTTGCCTTTGCCGCTGCTGCCGTTGCTGCTGTTGGAGTCTTCCCATTCCAAGGGATGATGGGCAGCTGCCACAGGTCCTTGATGCAGCTGGTCTCCTCTTCCAGACTCCACAGCACCTTCTTCCCAAGCTTAGCACGGCAGCTGGTTGGTCCAAAGGTCACTTCGGCCTTACTCTTCTGCAGTCGCCGCACAGAGAGAAGGTTAGCAGACAAGCCTTTAACCAGCAGAACATTCCCAAGCCCCACAAGCTCCCCATTAGCTCCCTTAACCTTGGCATTCCCAACACCAATCACGGGGAGCAAAGCACATGACGCTGCTGCCACATACTTAATCTTCCCAGGGGGTTTTACCTCATCAAGCAAATCTGCCCGTGGAGTCATGTGACTGGTGCAACCCGAATCAATCACCCAGTGTGTGAGAGGGTGCATCACAACCTTTCCCACAGATCCCACATCACCCTCATGCCCATGCACATCCTCAACCATGAGATACATCCCAGGATAGGCGTTACCTTGTGCACCTTCACCTTGTGCACCTGAGCCTTGCACAGCGCCACCTTGTGCGCGTTCACCACTTGGCGGCTTCATGCATGGAGGTGACCATCCCTCCGGCCTGCTGAAGCACTTGAACCAAGGATGCCCGACCTTCTTGCAGTACCAGCAGGTGCCCTCCATTCTGGTACTCCCCCTGCCACTGGAGCTCCCATGCCCCTCATTATAGTCACCTCGGCCTCTACCTCTGCCAAAGCTTCTCCCACGGCCTCGGCCTCTCCAACCCCCTCTTCCTCTGCCGCGCCCTGCAGCTCCATACCCCTCAGCAGTCTTAGTGGCAGCACCGCCTCCCACATGGCGTCTGCGGAAGTCCTCCTGCAGAATCTGCTGCCTTAGCCACTCAGGTGTCCATTGATCTTGCTGAGAGTTGAGGGTGGGGATGAGGTTGTCCCAAGAGTTGTCCAACACCGAGATGATCTTGGTGCACTGCTGCAGCTGAGATACACTGCTGCCCGCTGCTGCCATCCTTGCATAGGTGTCCTTGATCTTGTCAAGGACCGGCTTCACATCGTCCCCTGGTCGCATGGAGATGGCAGCAAGTTCCTTCTCGAGCACGATCACCATCGGGAGAGTGTTGGGCTGAATCACATCGCGTAGTAGTTTCCACGCCCTTGGACCCGAATCATCCGCTTCCACAAGATCCTTGATGTGCTCGAACATCTCCTTGTTGACCGATTGAAGGATGAGGTCGAAAAGCACCGCGCTTTTCTCAATCCACCGTTCACGTGCTTCGCCTTCTTCCGGCATCTTCTCTTCCCCAACAGCAATCTTCAGTAGCTTGTAGCGTTTGAAGGCACTCCTCATCCGTCCGCTCCATTCCTCATAGTTGGAGCCATCCAAAGCTTCAACTTTTGATGGCGGCGGCTCACTTGCCTTCTCAGCTACAGCTCCTCTTCCATTAGCATCTCCTCCTCTCTCATTCATCTTCTCCTTGAGAAATGACGAATTTCAGCTCCCCTTTGCTGTCCACACTCAGCTCCCTCGATATTTTCACAAGTATCGGCGTCCACGAAATTTCGGCAGAGTTTCCCCTTAGCGGAAGACACATCCAACATTTAGAACACCACTTAGGCACACCCACAGGCCATGGTGGGTCTAGAAGGGTCTTCACACTTCTGTAGACTCCTCTCAATGTCCTTAATATCGCTCTGATACCACTTGTTAGAATTAAGGACGGAGTCTAGGTGAACTTAGGAACTAGAATTACTCAAAATATAAATCCGAAATTCTGGACAGAAAAGTCGTCTTCACAAGAAACAACGTCGACAAAAAACTAGCCGTTGGAATGTCGCGAAACTTGGATATGTTGTAGCTCTTAATCTCAGCTACCGTTTCCAATTTGAATCACGTTGATTGATGAAGTATTCGCGACGCTATGACTTTCGACGCATTAGGGGGTAAGCTGTAGGAGGAGAACTTAACTCAATCTCAAAGGTTCAATCAAAGTTCAAGAATCTCACAAGGAATTAGAGGAGCAAGAGAAAGGTTGGGATAGAAGAGAGGGATGAGAGGGAAGGTCCCAAGAGAGTCCCCAACCAAGGAAACCCCATAAGCACAAAGATTCCCTCCCTATAGGAACCCCAACTTTGACATTTGTCCCTTCCCAACCAATCCATCCAAGTTGGCCACCCTTGCCAACCTAGCTTGGTTGTTCCCAACCAATTTGCAGCTGTTACAGTGAGTGACAAATTTCCCCAACCCCCAAAGGTCCCAACTCCATATAGAGTCACCCCACAACTTCACTTTGTAACCGCCGCAATTGTAACGCAAGCTCATGAACTTTGAATCTTCATAGCTTTCGCGTTCTTGCTCCGATTGAAGGGATTCTCGTTGCGTCGGAAAGATCTTCTCAAGATCTATCATCACAAAAAACCTGCTCAAACAAAATAACACAAAACACATTCCCAAACTCCAGAACACATCACACACAAATTCTTGCACACGTTCAAACCACACATGCAAGTTGAAAAAAATATGGGATGGGAGGCAGACAGAATGTGATAGCATATGATGACATCACACAACATTTCCGTCCTCTGCAGACCCCTCGCTCTTCGTTCGTGCTGGCCACACCCCGTTCTACATCCTTGTTTACATAGGCGACCTGGTCTTCGCCACGGCAGACAGGGACGCACTAGCCTCCGTGAAGGCAGAGCTACTGAAGAGACACACACCTGCACTGACCTTGGAGAACTGCGCCACTACCTTGGCTTGCAGATCTCTAGGGACAGAGCAGCGCGCACTATAACTTTGACTCGGCCACACTCGGCCTTCAGTTCTCCTCCGCACAGCCCAGTCCTCTGCCCCTATGTGAGAGTAAGACCCCGTTACACCTCTTGGCCTTTCCTGATTTCCTTCCTCTTTCATTTCTCTTTTTATCTCATCTCATTTGGTTTCCTATTCTCCATTTTCCATTAACCTTTGGTTTATCCTGCTATTATAATTATATCACCGACCAGGCTTGGGATGTACTGGTGCGCTATATCTAGCGTAATCCCTTAAAGCCAATAGTCTCGCGTGGTTATACGCAGAGTGATTCTATTTTATAGAAGGGTCTATTCCCTTGGGACAAGATAAACCTGGTTACCTGATGTACTATGGAAGTATAAAAGCGCCTTGTACTGATCGATAGTGCAATCTTTCCTCGAGTCATTCGATCCCGTGACACTTGGTAATAAGAGCTTTTCTCACTCGGCCGCGCTCAACAAAGCAGCAGCAGCGGGAAAACCTGCCTCGAAAAACCGCCAGGGGCGACCAATTCGACGCCGATTCTGGTAAGCACCAGCTCCGTGATTTTTCAAATTACCCCCCCCCCCCGCGCGTGTTTTGAACAGGATGGCAACCTTCGACAATGCCGAGGTTACTTAGCAGCTCTTCGCTGCGAGCGGATCGCGAAGCGTGGCAAAACGAGTTCGAGCGAGTAACTCGACTCGCCGGAGCGCAGCACGACTCGACAACGGTGATGACGCAGCAGTCGCAGCAGTTTCTCGAGGCTCCGAAACCGCGCCCACCAGAGCCGTTCGATCCGAGCGATTGAAACACCGACGCACGCAGATGCATCGCCGAGATGGAGATCTACTTCGCAGCCATCGGATGGAGCTCGCCAGTCTGGGACGGTCAACGCGTACGACTCGCGGCGACACTGATGCGAGGGCCGGCACGCGAGTGGATTGGCGGTAACAACACCTTCATCCACGGCGAAGCCACGTGGCAGCAGTTTCGCACCGACCTGCTGAAACGATTCGAGCCGATAAATTCGGGTTTCCTTGCCCGGGAAAAAATTAATCGACACCGACAATTCGGGAGTGTAGCGCAGTACACGCAGCAGATGGAGGAATTTTATAACCAAATTCCCGACCTGACTGAAGGGGAAAAAGTACAGTCGTACCTCGCCGGGCTGAAGACCGAAGTCAAACGACAAGTGCAGCGTCAAACTACGCGAGCTACAGTGACGTTGTTTTGACAGCGGAGCGCTTCGACATGGTCAACGCCGGGACACGACGGGCGCACGTCGGCAGTACGCGACAGGGCGACCGCTCGGCTCACCCCACATTCGCCTACCCGATGGAAGTCGACAGGTTCGAGGGGCGGCCACGTCCGAAAAACACCAACTACACGTGTGATTTTTGCGGGGTGCCGAGCCATCGAATCTTCGACTGCACCAAAATGAAGGCCGCACGCGCAGAGTATCGGGCACGCAACAGTGGCGGAATTCCTTCGGCCAATCAGAAGACAAAAAACGGGAGTCGCCAGTGATTGCGGATCTAGCTGGCAAAAATAAAAAGATCCGGAAGCGGCCGCGGGATTCCGAGAAAATTAACTTCGACGAAGCTGATTCGACGCGAGAAGGAGGAAATGATGGGGAAAAATCTCCACCCCACGACCAGTCTTCGCCAGGGAAAATCGCCGAGGAAAAATACGACTCCGCGAAAAAAGACTCTGCCGAGACGGGGAAGCTCCTTGAAGACCCAAGAAATTATAAGGATTCGTTAAAGCTATCCTATAAAGATGCTTTAATGAAAACTTATGATTCTCGAGGGGCTAGAGCCTTGGAGAAAATTCGGGAAGGACTCCAAAAGAAGCAGACAGCTGTGGAGATTACACCGGTACCGGACAACTGGGGGAAAAAATTAAGGAGTGTGGAAAGAAGCCGACCTTTCCACGGAGTCAACGTCCTCTCCCGACACCAGCCCACAACGACTACCCGTTCCCCAGGGAAGACGTCAGTGGAGCTGAAGCAACTCAAGAGGAGCCTGGGGGTCTACAAACAGCTGCACAAACCCCGAACTCCTCCTCCGGATGCATCCAGTTCTTCGGCATCAATGACGCGCACAGTCGTCAAGGAAACTCCGGGCCCTGGAGAAGAGCCGTTCTCCAAGCAGCCTCGGCCAGCTGCCAGCTCAGGAGTAGATAGCAACACAAAGGTGTGTACGGAATATTGGGATGTACCTTATCACCCAATCAATAAGACTATGTTTGGGTACTCCAAGCAACGCCTGCCCCTCGTGCTCGAGGTCATCTACAAAGGACGACGCCTCCAAGCACTCATGGACAGCGGAGCATCACACACCATCTACGACAAGGCAGTAATCGACCGACTTCGGGAAGAGTACAAGCCTTCAGGATTCTCTGCAACGATGGTGGACGGAAGCAAGTTACCAGTGCACGGCGAAGCAGTGCTACACCTACAAATCGAACCACTGCGCTGGAGACCTGCACTCCCCATCACCAACATCAAAGGGCTTGACTTGATCTTCGGGCGAGACTTCCTAAAAAGATTCAACCCGAGATCAACTGGGTGAACCGCACCGCAAGCATCTACAACAATGGACGGAGAGTACAGCTACCCAACTGGGACGATACAGGAGATATCCCAGTGGAGACACTCGCACGATTCGAGAAGGACGTGAAGCAAACTGACATCTGATTCCTGGCGATAGCAACAGAGGTGGAGAACGACGGAGAAAAAACGTCGGAACCTCGGGGAAATATCAAGGAATTATTGAAGGAGTTCCAAGACATTCTTCCTGACGATCTTCCGAATGAGCTACCGCCATACCGAACCCATCAACACGAGATCGTGGAGGAACCGGGTTCGAAGCCGACCTTCCGAGCACCATATCGGCTCAGCCCTACGGAGCTGACCGATATGAAAAAACAGATCGAGTATCTCCTAGCCAAAGGACTCATCCGACCATCCACTTCGCCATACGGTGCCCTAGTACTCTTCACACCGAAACCAGACGGAAGCCTGCGCATGTGCGTCGACTATCGAGCTCTCAACAAGCAGACTATTAAGAACAATTACCCGATTCCACGAATCGATGACCTGCTTGACCAGCTTCGGGGAGCCACGGTATTTTCCAAAGTGGATCTGCGGTCCGGATACTGGCAGATACGGATGGCGGACAACTTTATCCACAAAACTGCTTTCCGAACTCGGTATGGATCGTACGAGTATTTGGTTATGCCGTTCGGACTCACCAACGCACCGGCAACGTTCCAAGCCGAAATGAACCACATTCTACGGCCACTTTTGGGCGAGTGCGTGGTGGTGTACCTTGACGACATCCTCAACTACTCACGCGACATGAAGCAACACGTCGAACACCTGCGACGCGTCGTCGAAATTCTTCGACGAGAACGGCTCTACGTCAAACTGTCCAAGAGCGAATTCGCCCTTGAGAAGGTCCAGTTCCTAGGACACATGGTGAGCGCTCAAGGATTTCACGTCGACCCCAAGAAAATCGAAGCCGTACGTACGTGGAAGACACCCGAGAACGTGAAGGAGTTGCAGCAGTTCCAAGGCTTCCCTAATTACTACAACAGGTTCGTGCCACAGTATGCGAAACTCGCAGCACCACTCACAAATCTGCTGAAGAAGAACACGCTCTACAAATGGGAGCTGAAGCACCAGGAAGCCGTGGAGCAGCTGAAACAAGCACTCACGTCCGCACCAGTACTCATTTTGCCAGATCCCGAACGCGACTACGTTATCGAAGCTGACGCCAGCGACCAGGCAGTGGGAGCAGTCTTGATGCAAGACCAGGGGAATGGACTGCACCCAATCGCCTACCTCAGCAAGAAACTACACGGGGCAGAACTAAACTACCCGATACACGACAAGGAGGCCCTTGCCATCATCATCGCCTTCAAAGCGTGGAGATGTTATCTCGAAGGACGAAGAACAACCGTCTACACCGATCACTTCAGCATGAAATATTTGAAGACACAACCCAACCTTTCCAGGCGGCAGGTTCGGTGGATCGACTTCCTTGAGACACACTTCCACTACGACATCGTGCACAAGCCCGACCACAAAAACAAAGCAGACGCCCTCAGCCGGCCTACACACGTTGCCGCTATTCAGATCCAAGGGATGAATCCACTACACAAGGGACTCTTCACACACGGGTACGCCATCGACCACGGAATCCCCTTGGCTGAAAAGCGACATCTGCTACAGTGGGACAGTGACACCGCATACCGGAAAGGATAAAAAAAAATCTGGGTACCCAATTACCCTCCTTTGCGCCAGTTACTACTCGAAGAATACCACGACATCCTATACGCCGGACACTTCGGTAGCAACAAGACGCTGACCGGTATTGCAAAACACTACTACTGGCCCCACTTGGAAGAGGATGTTCAGAAGTTTGTCACATCGTGTGATACATGTCAGCGGATAAAGAGCAGCAAGCACAAAAAGGCGGGACTAATGC